AGAGTCTGTTCCAATTTCGATTCTTAACTCTGATACTAATGAGTACATTCTAAGTCATACGGATTTAACATCAAATAAACAGTGGGACAAACACATGATGAAACTGAGGGGAAGTACAATGAATTACATATATTTGGATTTTCATTAAACTGTGACGGATATGGTATTTGTACGAACGAACAGTTCTTTTAACGTGTTTGCCCACTGATTTCGAATTCTAAATATAATATGTTCATTTCTGCTCATCTAGTTCTACTTACTGTAAATTGCACCATTTCGAAAATCCCTAGTTAGGGCGATAACGCGAATACTTTCAATTATCGCAATAGACACTGAGTTATTTTTTGTGATCCTTTATTAAGTAATTTTTGCTGAACGAATTTCTTATTCAGCAATAACACTTGCGTTCAACCGCAATTTACTAGTCACAATGAATTGATGGATTAAAAAAATCCCAAACGTGAAATATAAAAGGGTTTATCAGAACGGCTTACAACCAGAAAACGAATTTCAAAAGGCCAGTAAAGAGAATCAACAACTGGAGGAAGAGTGTGGAGTGTTCTCAAGTAATTCCGGGTCACTAAAAAGAGCCGCAAATGCCTAATATTTAGAATTTTAAATAAATAAAGTATGCAATTAAGTCGCTACATCACCACCTTTCTCAAACAAAGGGTACATTGAAAATGCCTGTTCCAGTAAATTGCACAATAATAGGAAAAATTGTGAAAAATTGAAGTCAGTAATCAGTCATATATAATACAATAATAGGATGACATGGATAACTCAAAAGCTACTTGCAACAACAATAATAGTATCAGTAAATTGTTATCGTCAAGAGTGTGTTAAAAGTTTTATTTATGTACTCGAATACAACAATTTGTCGCTTGTTGACTTAGCTCAGTATGGTATGACGCAAAATAACATGATATAGTATGGCAAACATTCTAACATCATACTTGTGTTAACGATTGATATTGTAGCAGTAAATAAATCCCCAAAATAAATAGCTCTGTAAGTTTTCGACATTGGATGCTGACCACAGTTTTAATGGACTGACCTAGCTGAAAGCGCTCGGTCATGCATCCGCACCAGATCACGTGTGAGAACGCCGTGCTCAACATCTACCGCAATCGCTAGCCAGATTAGTTCAGACGATCCTCGATATATTGATAGCTTATCAAATATATCTTCGAACCTCCTCGCTTCTGTCTTTTGATTTCACTTGGTGGTACGCTTCATATTAGGTGTTACTCGTTAAAGCGTTGTCAAACTCCGAATACCTGTGGCGTCCTTAATAACAAAACGTCGTATTTACGCAGAAAAATTCATGTAGAAAATGCCTATATATGAAGGTTTGATGAGTCTTAAAAATCTGTGATGTCAGATGTTTACGAATTCGTGTATCCGAAGGTAAAAATTAAGAGCATAGTATGAAGAAACTCGTAGTTTCATATAAAGATGTGAAACGATGGTGAGTAGGTTGGACTAATAGTTATGTTACTACCACGAATAATGAATGGCGATTGTCTAAGCTGTAGGGAGATTACGTATATCAAATGAGAATGATGATTTAGGATGAATGCTTCGGCCAATGTATTCGTCCGTCCAACTTGGTTATTTCCCCGAATGATTCTCAGTGGCCCGAAATCTGACTCCGATAGGATCGTATGTTGATCGCTATCAAAATTTACATATCGTCAGTCCTCTTATATGATTATTATTATTATCATTAACTTAAATCGTGTTAGTGAATAACGGAATTAAATAAGTCAGATACGAGAACGGATTTTGAATACGTATACTTTGTATAATCGTTGGTCGGAAAGAGAAGCAAAACAAAATAACGCACGGTAAAGAAGGCGAGTCAGCCAACTCTATTTAATCAGGCGTTAAACAATATTCATAGCCACACAAAAATAAGCTACAAACATGTGATGATTAGGATAAGATGTGCACACACATACGCTCTAAAAAGTCCGGACATATAAGCTAATAAGTGACAAGGTCAAAATGTGGTTTAAGAAGAATGAATAGATTGCCATGTCCTGAAGCCAAAATAAGTTATGTGAGCTTAGTATAGTAATCGACGCTACAGACTTCTTGAGAGTTGTGGTTTGTTATGTCGGAAGACTGTTTCCATTGTCTACATCATTATTTTCTATGTGGAAAGGTTTTACCCCACCAATTTTAACGGTAAAGGGTTTGTATGTTTGTTAACAGTGATAACTATAATGGTTCTATTAGCCATTCTGTATGGAACATCATAATTGGAGTAAAAATTTCTCTGTACACTGTTTCTTCTCTTAGCTCTTGCAAAATATATGAAGGATGTTGTCAATGTCTGGGGGAGAGGTGGTATTCCTAGTTCGCTTATGTCATGTTTAAGACGTTACATAGTTTTAATTTGTGCCGAATAACACCCCTTGTTTCATCTACCAAGGCCAGACCAGTGACTGAATAAGTTTTTATTCACATTATAAACGAGAGCAGTTAAAATTCAAGGTTTTCTCTACAAATACATAAAGTATCTAATATTCAATAGAGAATAGTAGGAAAATGAATGCCTAAGCAAGATAAGGAAGTTAACATATATTTGCGTACTAGTGTTCAGACAATACCAAAATGTTTCCCGCGAACTCTTAACTACTCAAGTTATCAACTTAGCATCCTCCTAGAACGGAATTCTACTTGTGATTGTACACTACTTTTCTATATCCCATACTGTTATACGAACAATGGAGCAGTTTTTTGTTACGTCCTCTTACTGATTACGGAGGAATACACCAAGAAACTAATGTCACTCGAACGCATAGAGCTCCACAGAAGGCGGGGAAAGTCAGTGAATTGATTACTGGTTAAAAAAATCAAAAATTTACGGAAAAACATAGCTATTTATGGTTATCAGCGTTGGCAAGAGTACCATTATGATTTAGCCAATCCGCAAGGAGGCAAGTTATGTTATTGTCAAATAGTATCATGCCACATTGATATTTTAGAAAGCTCTATCAGGTTCTGACTAGATGAAATCTCTTCGGCTCCCTTAAAGCATTTGTCTTGCTTCTCGGACTGACATGTTGTTTGTTTGATAAGTTGATCGGACTGACATCCCTGTGGAAGTCGGTTCTAGGAGGATGCCGATGTGAGAACTCAGGTTGTTATAGTAACAGGGGGGCTTTTCGTTATGAAGTGAAAAATTCATTAGATGTTCGAAGTTCTGTTCGGAAAATTAACTCTATTGGAAAGCGCCCGATACACTATTTGCAAATAACCTAATTTCAAGCTTAACTGAGGGGATCTTGGCAGCTCAATAACTGTTTGAACTTAAGGCGACGAGTATAGCTTTCAGTTGGCAATCTAAGTGACTAATTACGCTGATAAAAATCGAAAGCTAGAAGATTGTGCATTTGTTATATGCCTAGGCTTCCAGTAAGTAGCTGAGAGGCATAATCCCCAAAACCGGGGACACTGTGCAGAAAACAAGCTGGGGAATGATCATTCTTACTACAGTTACTGGTGTCCCTGGGACCAAATGGTCTGCAACCGTATCACAATTAGGTTGTAATAAAAATAACTAATCTTTTTCTGAGACCTGTCGTAAAGTACGTGGGTGTGTAGAATTATCATCTACTATGAGATTAGTACCGCTCTAATAATAGACTTAATCATAAATTGGAGATTTTTCATGGTGTAACTGTCTAATCTATAAGATCTTACACGGAAGTCATATTATTATCTATACCAAATCATCGTATCGTAACAATTACCAATATCTGATGAAGAACACACTTAGATAGAACAATATATTTAATATGAATAAAAGGTATATGTTAACACTTAATAATGACTACGCCTGTAGGGCCGAGCCATGCCATCTGATCAAGTCGAACTAATCCAATTCATTGTTCCTACCTTCCTCGTCGTTGGGTTTTTCCCCGCTTTAAATGTTGAATATCTATTTTCCTAGTTGTCGCGTGTTCAACTTTGAGGATTGTGTGGTCAGGGCATAATGTCGCTACAGGTGAATTTTTCAGTGCACTCAAGGAGACCTGACTTCAGTTCACTTGCTCGTATATTTCCTCCAAAATGTTCCTCCTATCTTAAATCCAGAGCCCGTGAGGTCTAAAGTAGTAGTCATTCGGACAGTTATAAGTGGCATTTTTCTAACAACAACAAGGTCTGGTTACTTCGTAAATATTTGTGAAAGGGTAAACTATCATATTCTCTAAATTAAACGTATGGAAAGCAATAATATGCTTTTCTACAACCCTATGAAGAAAAAAGTTCTATGGTCCAAAGTTCTCATATTGGGGTTGCTATCCTAATATGTCTGAAGTTTCGAATTATTTTCTTTCAAGATCAAACACATTTCTGGCCCTATATAGTTTCCAAAACCTGTCCTGCAATGGCCAAGGGCACCGTGTAATTTAGGGTCTTCATCATCATAGAGATCCTAAAATGTTCAAATTCAAGTGGATTTTCAAGTTCACATAAAGTCAAGTTCGGATTTCCATCGGAACGAGCTACTTTCTATAAGTTTTTAGGTGAGAAGTACCTTTTGACTCAATAGCAATGTGGTTGTATCCGTGCTTAGAGCAGTCATTAAATGGACTCTTTAACCACAGACCGATTTCCTAGCTAAAGGTCGTAGAAAGAGTTATGACTTGATCTTTCTAGGATCATGCACTCGAAATCCTATCATGACCCAATTCCCGGTTCGACACTATCGTGTCGATTGCTTGAAGTGCTTGGACATTGTTAGAACACTAAATTTTTGTCCGTACCAGTATCATGGATTCGTATGAAGTTTCTAGGAGATAGTTGTGGTATTAAGTACCTCTCATTTGTGACCAGCAAATACAGAAGAGTAGGGGTGAAAAGCCACAATACATAAACCAAATAAATCATTCACGATTCCCTCACAAATCTTTCCACTGTGAAAAGGACATGAATACAACTCTTTGAGATGAGCTCGATATCCAGTGAAGTTCGAGGTTCAGAATGACCTTGAGTTTGCGAGGCATTTTGTTATCTGTCATTCGAATGAGTTCCAAAAGGAGTTCGGTAGGTTAGTAAGCAATAAACTCTTAAAAACCATGCTCATGATAGAATGTTTCACACAAAAAAACTGCGGAAAAAAAGCCGCGCAGCCATTCTTTTGAAGATAAGAGACACGAGTCTCCCAAAGTAACAATCATCGAATTTTAATCATGATCTAGACTCAAAACTCAGACTGGTGTACTAGATATCCTGGTTCTTCACCTGACCTGGCAAACCCTCTGTCATCCAAATGGAATTTTAAGATAGTATCTTGGAATGTCAATGGCATACGGGCTGTCATTAAAGTAGTGATGTGGCTTAATTCTTGAACATTTCTAGAATAATGGCATGGAGTATATCAAAAAAGAAAATGCAGATATATTTTGCATACAAGAGACTAAGTGCCCTTTGCACAAAATTCCGTCTGAAGCCAAAGTTCAGTCATACCAATCATTTTGGTCGTCTGCCGACAGGGCCGGATATGCGGGAACAGCTTTATTTTCGAAAATCTCTCCGATAAAAGTGACGTATGGTATAGGTAAGAAAATGCATGACGAGGAGGGGCGTGTTATTACTGCGGAATACGAAAAATTCTATCTAGTTACTGCTTGTAAGTGCAATTTACTCTTACTTAAATGGTAGATGTGCCAAACTCAGGACAGGGGTTGGTTCGTCTACCATATCGTGAAAAGGAATGGGATCCCGATTTCCTTGAATACCTGCGCAAACTTGATTCTACAAAACCTGTCGTCGTGTGTGGTGATCTTAACGTAGCTCACGAGGAGATCGGTAAGTTGTTCGGTCTATTTGAGATACATGCTTTTACTTTTCTCCTATAATTATGATTTTCATGTTTCTATCCCTCGAAAGTATCATTTATTTTTATGTGGTGCTAATCATAGAGTTCTATTGAATCCAGAGTTTTTTACAAGTAAAAGTAATAAGTGGATACTTAATGAATCCCTACTTACTGCTCTCTCTCGGGGAACGGGGTTGTTTTTTACGGGACCGTGGTGACTAGATGCGCTCTAACCTGGTTGATGGGTACGGAGGATTTACATAGGGGAGTTGAAAAACCCTAATCCCAAACTAACGGCGCACATGAGCCCCAAGATTCTGAGGGAACAAATGACGTAAACATATTCTTGGTCACTGGATACTAAGAGGTCGCATATCCTAACGTTGTTCCACCCTCTTGTTGAGTGGCTACCTAAGAAGACTACCAGTTCTGGGCTGGGCATCTGGAAAGTCGACACATAAGCCTCAAATACCATCCTCATAAATTATTTTCTTAATTATTTGGTAACATTCATCTTGTATTGTGCTACTTGTCTATTATCTTTTATTCTTTAACTCATACAGCAACTCACTTGTGGTGGACATTCTGTCCTATCTAAACGTTCTCAAGTCACTAACTGTTCAAAAGTTGTATACTACTGCCGAATACGAATTCTCAACCAGTCTTTCTAAACCCATGTGTAACATTCAAACTGGCTTCCACCGTTCGCATACTAGTGTGGATCGGACAGCAAATGGGTTTGGCCGTCTTTAGAAAGTCTGGAATTTGATTTCTGTTGTCAGAGTCCCGTATTCCGGACTCTAGGAAGCACCAAGAATTCGGGGTGCTTGTTTCACTGTCGTTTATTTGGAGACCGTGACATCTGTTTTGCTGGTGTTGGTGTCTCACTAAGCGCTAGATCTGATGCAGCGCTAATGTATTGGGTCACCATTAACAGCCGGTTATGTGCTATCAGGTTAGAAAGCTCTCAAAGTGAGGAGAAATTGATGTGAGTAACCTTATCTTTCCGTTATCTCCGCCTACGCCCCAACAGATTGCGACCCGGATGCAATCAAGAATGAATTTTACCACTATTTAAGTGTTCTACAGGAAGTACGTTTGACAGATATTGTGGTGCTAGCCGAAGACTTGAATCCACAAGTCGGGCATGGGGGAATAGCGGAGTGTTGTTTGTGTGGCCAATCGGGACTTGTTGGTCTCAGGCCAGATAACGATGACCGCCTATTGAAACTGTGCACAGACTACAACCTGTTTCTGGTCAACACTAACTATCTACATAGGAATCACCGATGTGCTATATAGCATCCGCCCTCTGCATCTGAATCCTAAACAAGGATTGATCACATCTCAGTCAGCTGCCGCTGATGTGGTTGTGTACAAGACTGCTGCTCCTTCTAAAGTGCTTACCTGGACGCTGATTATGTCCTTGTTTGCACTAATCTTATCTTACGTTTCAGTGACCAACAAATTCATCGCCCTAAGCAGATCGATGTCAGCAAATTGCTTGCAGCTTCTGTTGCAACTTAATGTCAGGTCGAGCTAAGTTCCCTGACCATACCTGCTACCTTGACGCGGTGGTCGGGCTTGCCTATCGTGATGACCCAACCGAGCTATGTTGGCTGGAACATATGTTCTTGCAGGTTCTACCACGCCAGGCAGGTCGATTGGAGAACGGTAAGACTAAAAGCAGCAACTCAAGGTCTGAGGGCGAAGTCGTACTGCTGACTGTAGAGGGGTGTGACAGCAGTAAGGTGTTTTCCTCGGACGACCAGCATCTGCAGCGATGCTGCCTTCCCACAAGGAAGGAAGGGGTTAGAAAAGGTCGACCCTAAAAATGTCACACCTCACCTTACCTCACGGATTTCCGTCTCCGGCGGTAAGGCCCTTTGAAAAACGGAGCTAACACATTAAAAACCTCCCACGAAAAAGCCGTGCGTGACCTACCTCAAGCAGTTGTCCCTTGGGCTCTGCAGTCACGCTCCCAGGTCGTTGAGACCAACATTAATCCGATTTCTTTTTCAGGTTCTTCAAGAAATACCCTTCCACGGTGTGGGCAGCCTGAAATTGACATCAGCCATCATACCCGTAACAGCACACGAGGTCAAGTCGGTCACATTCAAATCCTTCCTACACCTCCTAATAACTCTCTTATCTCCACGACTAACTCTTCTTACGTCCCTTTATCACCTCGCACCGCTAGCGCAAACGATTCGAGTACACGGGACGTTATTCCTGGTCTCCTGAAACCACGCTCTAAACTACACATAGGAGCTTTTAACGTCCGAACACTGTGCCAAATAGGACAACAGGCTTCCTTAGCTAGGACTTTAGAATCTCGCGCTATCGACGTGTGCTGCGTCTCCGAAACGCGCATACAGGATTCGAGCAGCGTCATTCATTCGACCTCACCATGTCGAAATAAAGAACCAACTCGATTCACGCTTCGTGTATCTGAAAGCCCTGATGCTACTTCCCGTGGCCTCGCTAGCGTAGGTACGGCATTGAGTCCTAGGGCAGAACGAGCTCTCTTAGACTGGATCCTAGTAGACAGTCGTTTGTGCGCTGTCCGACTAAATGGAACAGTAGGGACTCGAAAAGATAGGGACACTCGTCGTTGCCTCTTCGTCGTCTCTGCCTATTCTCTGACTGACTGCAGCTCATGTAATGTAAAAGATGAGTTTTACAGAAAGCTTTCCGACCTTGTCCGAAAAGCTAGGCGCTCTGATGTAGTAATAGTGGCTGGTGACTTTAATGCTCAACTAGGTAAACTAAGCGAAAGGAAAGACACCTGGGTGGATCTTATAGCGTCGTGGCTCAAAGAACAGACAATGGCGACCGTCTGTTGCAGCTATGCTCAGATAACCGCCTCTTTCTTGCAAATACTAACTTTAAGCATAAGGAAAAATATCTTTTGACATGGCGACCCCCTGATTCGTCCCAATGTTGGACCAAAATAGATCACATCGCTATCAGACACCGATGGAGGGGCTTGATAGAAGACTGTCGCTCATTCTGGAGCACATGCTTAGACTCAGATCATGCTCTAGTGCGAGCGCGTATTTGTCTGCGTCTTACTGGACGTAGGAAAGACGCTGCAAGGAAACCTCTTAGGGCCCTACCAAATGATAGTCAAGCTAAGAATATATTTCAGGAACAACTAGAAAAACAGTTAGGCAGCTATGTATGTGATGTCCACCCCGAGGCAGAATGGAATGATATCCGAAAAGCTGTGGAAACAGCAGTGATATCTGCTAGTACGGTAAACCACAAGGTTAGGGAGAAACACTGGATCTCAGCAGCATCTACCGCACTGATAGACGCTCGAAAACTCATTCCATCTGGCTCTGAACATAACGAAGAGTGGAGTCAGCTTAAGCGCAAGCTGACAAGAAGCCTACGCAATGATCGCGAACAGTGGTGAGTAGCAAAAGCAAGAGAGATTAAAAAGGCAGCGGCAATAGGCAACAGCAGACAACTGTTCAGACTTGTTAAGGAAACCGGTATTAGGAACCCAACTGTTAGCGAAACTATCTCCGAAAAAGATGGACATATTATTCATTTTCAATCCAGGAGATTGGATCGATGGGCAGAACACTTTAGGGATCAGTTCAACTGGCCTTCATCCACACTTTAGCTTCCCACGATCTCCAGTCGACCTGAATGGCAAGTTAACGTAGGTCCTCCAACTCTTTACGAAGTTGAAAAAACTATAGGAAATCTGAAGCGAGGGAGATCAGCAGGCCCTGACAGGTTTACCCCTGAGATTTTTAAGGATGGTGGTCCAGTATTAACAGTGAGATTAACTGAGGTCTTAGGTAGAATTTAGGAACTGGACGTAATCCTATCTGACTGGTCTCAATCACTGATTGTTCCAGTCTATAAGAAAGGACAAAAGTCCTATTGTGACAATCACAGGGGAATCAGTTTGACTAATATAGTGTCTAAAATATTAGCTTCAGGAATACTTCGACGCCTAACTAAAGCTCGTGAAGAGCAGACTAGAGAAAACCAGGAACATATGTTCCAGCCAACATAGCTCGGTTGGGTCATCACGATAGGCAAGCCCGACCAATGCGTCAAGATAGCAGGTATGGTCAGGGGTGTACAAGTAGGTTGGAAGAACGCTAGAGGCGGCTAGACTAAAACATTTCACAAATCCATGAAGTTACTGACAAGTGGAGGGAGGCGTGTTGGTAGGTGTATACTACCTTGTTGAGGACCGCGAGATGATAGCAAACGATGGTTAGAGACTCTGAATGACATGACTCGAAATCGTTTGCAAAGGCGCAGGTGCATCCACTCTTTGTGTTCTCCCGAATTCTAATCTTCTGAATTCTTCATGTCCCTTATCTTTCCTCTTTCCAAATTTATTTCACTATATTATACTCCTTGAATAACATCAAACCCTAATGTTTCCGATCACTGCTTATACTCTTACTACCTCTACTACTATGGGATTTGAATCGACAATTGTACCTCTGTGCTAATGTGGTATGGCAGCTCGAGCTGGTGTACGTACGTACGAAGTTCTATGTTTTCACTAACTGACTGACTCACGATTCCCTGGTTGGGTTCTTAGAGATGGTGCAACACTTGCTTGAGACGTTATCAGAAAAAACTCAAAATAGAAGTCAGTGGGGATGTTGCTGTAATGTTCTTTTACTTTCTTCATTTAGACGATATTAACTTCTCTAATTGAAAGAATCATTTCTGGTTGTATTTTTTCTATTGAACACCCTCTCCCATTGTTATTTTTTATACTCCAACTAATTTTTCAAAATACTCACTTGCCCTTGTATCTGCACAACCTCATTTTCTTACTGTGTAGCTCATATATATTTTGGTATATCTTTGTACCACCATTTACATTGAAATAAATAAATAACTTAGTAAAGCATAAAAGATCTCTTTACTCTGCGGTAACTTGATGTCTCCATTCTGCTGTCAAAACATCAGTGGTGATTTTTAGCAACCTTCAGGAGGATGTTAAGAAAGACTAGTGGGTTTTAATAGCTTTGATATTAATGGGTAAGTCGATCGTGTGAAAACAGTTATACAACCACAGTTCTTTTCACTGCGAATTCGTTTACAAACACCGTTAGGGAATAATTTTGAATTATGCAACTGCTCGACTAGGTTGTGACATATTAAAGACCATACCATTCATTTAGGAGTTTTCAGTATTCCGGTTGTGTTCAGTAAAATGTAACTTTTACATCGGTGGCATAGGTTCAGTAAGTTTGAACTAAGTATCTTGTGCAAATATCCGAAAGTGTGCACTAACCGGATTCCCTTCACTTAAATTCATACCAAGTCTCTCTTTTCATTATTGAAAATTGGAATGACTACATGTCATGTATATGTCGTTCTGTGCAGATCACTAGTCTTCTTTCTACTTAAACAGATCTAGCTCGACCAGAAACAAATCATAAAACCGCTGGATTTACTGATCAGGAGCGATCAGGTTTCACAAAATTGTTATCGTCAGCCAATTTAATTGATACCTATCGTCATTTTTACCCAGACCGTCGAGGGGTGTATTCATTTTGGAGCTATCGAACAGGAGCGCGCTTAATCAATAATGGATGGTAAGTCCCTCTCTATGTATAACTAATATTTCGTGTTGATCATCATAATAACAACAAATTTAACCGTAGTAAAAATGCCATGATTAGATATAAGCAGAGAAAGTCAAGGCACAAGCTGAATACACAGAGGCAAACATGCAAGTGAAGAAGAGCATTAGAGCTGACATGCAAAGATGCGTGGAAGGCCTAGCAGTGACAGCGGAAAAAGCTGCAAGAGAAGGAAATATCAGACAACTACATGATATAACGAAGAAAATAGCAGGGAAATATAGTAAACCAAAGAGACCAGTCAAGGACAGAGAAGATAAGCTAATTACTGAAATTCAAGAACGAAAGAAAAGATGAATAGAACACTTTGAGGAACTCTTGAAGAGACCACCTCCATTGAATCCACCAGACATCGAAGCAGCACCTATAGACCTACATATAGCTGTCACTTCAACGATCGAAGAAATCAGAATGACCATCAGACAAATGAAGAGTGAGAAGGCGTCAGGACCTGACAATATACCAACTAAAGCACTGAAATCGGACATAGAAGTAACTGAAAACATGCTCCACGTCCTATTCAGGGAGATTTAGGAGGAAGAACAAGTGCCAATGGACTGGAAAGTAGGATATCTCATCACGATACCAAAGTGAGGAGATCTGAACAAATGTGGGAACTACAGAGGCATCACATTATGGTGTACCCGAGAAAATTGTCAACGTCATCCGGAATTCATACGACGAGCTACACAGCAGAGAATTCTGGTGGGTATCCTATGCTCCAGTACGAGGGGTAACAGGCGTAAGTAATTAAAAATAGCGCGTGTATTTTCGCACGCACTGCTCATGTCCAAATTATAGACTTTGACAGCAGGTAGAAGTAGATATCTAAAAATTTGTTTCAACATAAGCGTGTAGATAAACTAAATTGATACTTTAAAAGCAGCCCGCTACTACTGGTCATGAAGTATCATATCATTGATGTAAACCGCAATATTGAATATTATAATGTATTTGTTAGGCTATAACTGATAAGACACCAATATTTGAATAATAATTGATTAATAAGATAAGGACATTGAATATATATACCCATCGAAAAATTTTAATAACTAACCTATCTATATTCATTTTAAACTTCTATAAGTCGACACATTTTTAGTCTCTAATGTTTGGTTTTTTAAATTGTAAAATGCTTGATTTGTTCCCTGGTTTTCCTTCCTGTTTCAGGCGTTTGGATTATTTCTTGGTATCTGAACGAATTTTAGCAAACGTCAGCGATCAGGAAATACGTTGTGGAGTTACTGGAAGTGATCACTGTCCAATTGTTCTGTATCTTCAAATCTAAAACTCCTTTTGAAAACATCTATTCAAACAGATTACTATCAACAGTATTTATAAATACCAGAATAAATGTATTTTATAATTGAGTTTGTGGAATGGTATGACGAAAATGTGAAGTGCTACGATCATTGAATGATTTTGCTTTGAAATCATTTTGGTTAGTTTCGATGAAATATATTTCGTGAAAGTGTTAGTTGGAAGGCAGAATTACAAGGAAAATTTTGCTTAAGTTTAGAAAATTAAAAACACATAGTTTGGAGAATTATTTAGTAGTTTTGCTTCGAATACAAACACAATAGCCTTAGAATTAGACAACTACAAATATTGAGCGAAATAGAATAAGTGTTCTCTATGGACTAGGCCAAACGTGATAAAAGCATCCCCCTAGAACTATTGATGATATATGACACCATATAACTCTGATTCTAACCTCAACATTTATCATTGGAAAATACCAGTCGATTGGATTATCTTGTTTTGTGTAATTAGTAGATGTTGAAAACGTTTTACAAACGTTATCACATCCTTTAAAATATATCGGCGTTGCTTATTCGGCTAATCAACTATATACCAACAGGCCATTAGGTTAATAGATAAACTCGTATTTATAGCCAAACTAGAATATTTTTATGACGAGATAAATCTAGTAAGTACCACCATCTAAAATGCACACATCTTGTATTCTCTTGACTGACTAATAAAATGGTCAACATAATTTCACACTAAAATAATTCAGCTACTAATATGCTGTCAGTAGCTGGATTATTTATCGTTAAATTGTTTGGGTTTTGATTGTAAAACTCTTTCAAATTAATGTAAAAATAATTGTTGTATTTCATTATGAATATATCTTAGTATTAAGCTGTCTTGGAATATCTGAATCAAAAACACGAAATTCGTTAAAGAAATCGCATTTAGATTAATTTATGTTCATGCTGTACAATCATATATATATTCTTTGAGGAACTATGACCTAATATGACATAATAGAAAGATTATAATCCTAGGTTACATGGTGTGGATAATAATAAAGGCTATGCAAATTCTACGGGATGTTTGAATATAGAAGTGCGTATGAGATTAGTTTACAAACATCGGACTATAGTGTGAGTGGAGTTAAATGATCAACACATCTTTGTCACAATAGTTAAAGGTGTTGGAAAGATTCAATGAAATGAAGTGATATCAAAAACAATTGTCAATAAAATCATAGGGATTTAATAAGTGACTAAAGAGGAGACATAGTGAGATGAAGGTAAAAAATAAGGTTGAAAATAGATTAAGACTGCGAAAAATATAGGAATGACACTTCATTTGTACGCAAAGTTCAGGCTTCATTTCATGGGTAGCAAGAGTTTCTGGTATCTTCAGAAGTTGAGCACGAAGAAATGTTGATAGATTAGGATGAATCCTGTAAACGAATTTACAATCAACATACGGATTGGTTGAGTGCTTGCAGTCAGTTTATTATTCAAAGATAAACTCCTAACGCCTTTCATCTCGCCCTTGTAGAAGCATAATGGAATTTGTGTTGAAAGCAAGCGCTAGCCACTTCTTATGTACCTCGCTTCACAAGATGTAAAACTTAATTGTAAATTCGTTGAAAAGTACTCCCTCTTATGAATTGTGTTTAATATTTTAGTGGGAAATGCCGATGTATATCTGCATTACTCCTTAAATATCTAGTACTGGATATAAAGGGACATGCTAAGGAAATTATAGTATTATGAATTAGTTGTTTAATTTTGTTAGTGTGCAGTTTTTAAAAAGTAGATCCAAACACATCTTATGTTCTTGTCGAGTTAAAAATATCCTCTATACGTTATATTAGATCAAGATTTGGAAGTTAGGTTTTATAATTAAGATATCTGACTCAGTATATGGACAATAATTAAAGATTAATGGGTTGTGATGGAGAGCGATCAATGTATACATAAGGTGTGCAGTAGCAGTTTATTTTATGATAATCTGTACGTTAGAAGAACGAGAAAAAATTAATTGACTGTTCAGCCAACTTGTAATACGCCAACGTTTTGTAATCAAAATAGCTGATAACAATTTAGAATGAACATTCGTAGATTTAAAGTAAGTCTGAAGACCAGTCAAAAAATCAGTGAGGCTTTAAAAGTACTATTTACGAGTCTTATCAGCCAAATACATGTCTGAGGGTCCATGTTTCAAACCTTAATAGAGGACTTCTGAATTTTAGTACCAAATAGTACGTTGGAGTATATCATATAAAGTTTAGACATCAAAGTGCTAACGCAAGGAAAAGGACGAACGGTTCTTTATTTCTAATTTGTAAGCTTTGAAACCCACTATCTCGATAGACTATGCCTAACCTAACTGGCCAACTCATTGATAAAGGGGTTTAGTATCTGATCTGCTACCGATCATATACCTGGTAATTTTTCTCATAATTTCAACAAATACTTCTTTACCTTTCCCACATTATTGAAGCTTACAAAGCATGAACCTTTATTTTTTCTAAATCTAAAAGCCATATTCTAAATAGTAAACGTAAATATCAAGGGAGAAACCGTTCACTGTCTTTTCTAGATATAGATTAAAAACTGGGTTCCAGGAGCTTATTACTCGTTGGGGAAAGCGGTATTTCATATTAAGTTTATTCGATCATTGGTTCTGAATCTTTTGATGATTTCAGAGATGATCCATCTTAAAAGGAACAAACATCTAAGATTAATTAATAACCAGGCCAATATTCCCTATCTAAAATCGTGGTTTAAGGATATTTCATATGCAACAACTTTTAATAAAAAGATTTTGTTATCAACATTTGAATTTGTCTTTTTTTAAAAGTCAGATCTAAGTACCTCTATATTTATTTTTTAAAATTTGATTTCTGTAATTAGTTTAAAAAGTACACACTTGAAACGTATCTTTGTAAAATTTTCCACTATTATTCACTATACATCAATGTTTTCCATTCACACACTTGTTTTCCAAAAAGTTCTCAGATATAATTTTTGTTTGATGACTGTGTCGTATAGTTTAATTATAATTTGAATGTTTGTTAAATGTACATTCACCACCATCAATCTAAATGTACATTCGCTTTATGAAATCATACTTATTCGCATAACTTGTTATTAAACAATTGATATCCACATTAAGCCTTTGAACTATGTACTACTTTTAATACAACTCCTCATACAGTTTCTTTTCCAAATTTTACATTTTGTGATTTGTGGAATAATGCAGAACAACTGTGACAATATTGTATTTGTGTAAGACTATTTGAATTGCCTTTATAATTTGGTTTTCTTAAAAAAAGAGCATTTCAAGAAACAAACAAGAGGAGTATATCATTATTGACAAGAATTTGAATTATTTTATTGTTAATATTCAAAACAATATTTTTATCAGTCATTGTTGGTATAAATACATCCTAAATGGATTACTTCTATAAACCATTTTGTAACAAGTTTTATAGAATAGATGAACTGAGATTACCAATAAAGTTCAACACACTCGCTTTATCTAAATTGGGACTCATCATGAGCTACATGTATTTGTATCCCACTGTTGATATTCACATCAGTACTTTAACCCAGCTAGGGAATCCAGATAAACACTAGCTTGTTCAACCGATTTGTTGATGTCACTATTGGTGAGTGTTCGAGTCCTGATGTTAATATGAACAGTAACTCAGGTCCACCCATCAAATTAGTCTACTGCTAGTCAAAATCTGTTTATTCTTTAAAACAAGATGATTACTTGTTGAGTGTACGTAAACCATATCTTTTGAATGTTAGCAACTGGAGCGCTTCCATTTGGTTATGTAATCTTGTACAAGATATGCTTCATTGTGGAAAATATAGAAATGTTTATTAATTAAACATTGAAGTAATAAAATACATCTTGGTAATTCTAATTAATTATATTTTTCATTTATTGTCCATCAATATGAACAATATTTACCGATGCTCACTTTCCTTACTATATTTCTCATCCCATTTATAATAAATATATTTTTTGTTACATCCCAATTAGTAGAAAATTGTATTTCTGAAGTTTCGTGACCTAATGTAAGTCAGCATAAATAAATACAAAAAAATATATTTATTATTTTTAACTTTCTACCCAGTGCTCACTTTATTTTTTAAAACTATCAAGTCCAACCTTGGTATGGATACCTACACTCATTTATGTTGTAATGAACTGATTGAAAATGAAAAGAGGGAGTATTGTAATGCATACAAGTCGACTGTCCAGTTAACGCCGAAATATATTGTTGTTCTATAGAGAAAACAATCACTAGTAAGTCCCAACTAGCATGAAACACAGGTTCAGAGTTTATTACCGACTACTTTTAACCGATTAACATCTCAATATAGTATACGTGATACTGAGTCATTCAGATTAGTAGCCAAATTGGAACTTGATCAGTAGAATTAAATCGATTCTAAAAGATTAGACAAACATGACTCTGACCACTTTTTAGTAATCAATCAATTGTATCAATATGTATATCCATAGTTAACGAAATTAATGTCAGGAATATCAGACAATATTTTATATACGTGTTTGTCACTGGTATTTTAGGAAGTTTGAAATCAATGTTGTTGATTTTTTTTGAATATGTTTAATAAAATAGTAAAATATATGAAATTACATATCAGATCAAGTACATTATTTTTGTACTTACAAAACATATTACGCGTCACATAATATTGTAAAACATTTAGGACTAAATATATAAAGTACTATTTGTGTCATTGTTAACTTTTTCTAATAAAATCTCTTGCTATCAAATATACATGCAAATTCATTTACTCACAAAAGCTTATAAATCATATTTTCCACCTTGTATTTGACGAAAACAACAACTTTAAAAGAATTTCACTCTCTTATTAAAAAAAAAACGTTGTCTCCTTTCTGTGTTTGTTTTTTAGTTTTACTTCTTTCGAATCTTAGTATTCAATAATCAGTACTGTCAGTGTTATACTTTTGACGGGAAAAAAACACAACGACAACAACAACAGGAAAGCTGACAAATAATAAAAACTTTGAAATCATTGAAAACAATTTTAAATATTTGTCAGGAAGTATATTTTACCAAGTCTACTAATGATGACATGATACTCGATCAATAATATCAGGGAATCGTTTCATATATATATATATATATATATATATATATATATATATATCATTCATGGTGTTTTGATGATTTACGATTAAATGTAATCATATTCTTTACATTCGTGAATTCATGTGTAAATGTAAATAATAGTTTAAATAATTCGGACAATAAGTTAAGATAGATTTATTCTTAAACAATATGCAGTTATAAATGAAGTTATTAATCGAAGTATTTAACAACCAAAAATCTCTTTTAACAAATATTTGTAACTTAATCATAAAGTTTCCTATATTTTAATTACTTTCCAGGCTTGGGACCGGCAGTAGCCCCAGAGGGGCTCCAGGCGGAGTTATATAAAACATTTAGGAGAATAAATATAAAGATTATTTTAAATGACTAACCTCAGTTGTAATAATATTGAATATCAGAGAAAAATGGACAGCTGTTTCGTTTTAGTATGGGACTTCTCTTCAGTGGACACACTCTATTTCACCAAAGATTGAAACCAGGAGCTTTAGATCTCATGGTGACCAACTCATCATTAGACTATGTAAACGCTAGAACAACCTTACAGAAAATCATTTTATATAAACAATAGTAGTATGCTCAACAGTTGGTTTACTTCCAAATAAGTTTTTTAAGTTGTATTGGTATTTTGAGACCGATTGTGTTCTTTCATATGGAGAGTAGAACAATGGTCTTCAGAAGATTTAAATAATCATCATGAGATATTGAAGATTAATTGAAGCTAGATATGTGTAGTTTTGGATGTCAACTCCGTAGTACGATGGTTAAACACTTATCGCCAGGATTGAAGGTCCTGGGTTTGATTTCCATCAGGATGATGAATGGACACTGCTAAGAACAAAACCTTTTTTAATGCTACATGGATTTTTATTGGTACTCCAGCTAAGCTCAGTTCATAAAGAGTATTACTTATAAATCAAAATAATTTTCACAAACTACATCATCTAAAATAAATAATTATTGGATACTTTCATGATGAAATATTCGTCACTACGAAAAAGAATCGATTATATTTATTTCTTTTAAGTTACGTTATATTATAACTGGTTTTATTCTTGATTTCGAGAGGTTGAATCTACATTTCATATTAGCTGGCACTCATGAATGAAACATCTCTACAATATAAAGGAAATTCCTGTATCTTATAGGTTTTAAATTCACATCACATATTATCATCACTAAGATATTAACCTTTAGAATGGCCTCATATGAGAGTGAGAACTTTATACTGATTTCTGCATGACTAACAACGTTCTATCTGTCTAATTTTTTAAAAAGTTACATATCTGGTGTACGTAAATGTAAATCTCATTTAGAGTTTCTTAAAAACAAACAAACAAATATTTAACAAAAAAAATCAGTGGTCTAGTGGTTAAGCGCTCATCTGCGAGACTAATAGGTCCTGGGTTCGAATCTCGCGGGGGGGGATTATGGATGCGCACTGCTGAGGAGTTCCACAATAAGACAAAACGGCCATCCAGTGCGCCAGGTTTTTCATGGTGGTTTAGCTCCAATTAACTCATGATCTAAACCATTGTTATTACTATAATATCCACAAAAACCCTTCTGATATGAAAAAAAAAACTAATATCATTATATAAAGAACCTTTATGAACAGTACGATTCTTCATTTCAAAAGATAATATTATATATTAAATGTTCATAAAATCACTTTTAATATTATTTTATTGCATATTACGCAGTTCAATTTGTAAATAGAATCTTATACAAATAGATTAATCTAAACCAGTAAAAATTCGATTTTTTTCATTTTCTAAAAGAGAAAAAAAGTCTTCATGTGAAATTTAAAGCAAATTGCCATATTATATATCCGTTAAGGATTCGGCCTAGTTTCTAACAGGCGTATACAACATATATATATATATATATATATATATATATATATATATATGCCTATCATTTTACTTATCTTTTTATGACCTATTGATTACTGATTGGTTAAAAAAGGTTTAACCAATAAGATTTCGGTGTCCCAAAATTCTATTCATAAATAAATAAATAATTTTTTTTCCAGAAAAAGAAAATGTATCAGAAAAATTATAAAAATATTTTCACTCATAAAAATGCAAATGAAAATATAAATTTTTATAAGGAATTAAATGGTTTGCAAAATTTTCAATCAGGACATATATTATATTAATAATAAGATGAAAAGAATGGAAGATAAACATAATTAATATACTTTTGATAAATTTGATTAATTTTATTAATTTGATGAAATAATGCCTTTTCGTCGACATGCTTATGATTTTATGTTAGATGATGGATTAGATACACGTATACCTGTGTATAGTGATGAAGTGTTTAAACAAGGCATTCATTTTTGTGCCAAGGTGAGTTTTGATTTATTTTAGCTATGTTGAAAATAATAATGGATTTGAGTGAATACAAGTATTATTATTAGTAATAAAAGTAATTGTTAGTAAAATATACTTTACAAGTATTATTCATATAATGGATATAGAAATTGACCTTAGTTGATTTATCAGCGTAGGATTGTAGAAATCGTGGATGCTGACTGCTGATGAGTTCCATAGTAGGAAGAAACAACCGTCCATTGTATCCAGGTTTTCAATGTCAGTCTATCATTATTCAGCTCGTGATCATATTTAAAACACAGTCGATTTGCTTTCATCATATAATGGTTTACATTTACGAAAATATGTAAGGTTTATTATTATAATCATTGTAATAATGGTTTGTTTTTAATCCATAATTTAGTAACGATGTGTTATCAAACTAAAAAATTTGTAAATTTAATTGGTTCTGTTTACTTAGGAGTTTCTTTATGTCCCAGTCTATATTCTGATAATATATAGAATATAGAGATGATGTGATTTGTGACTAGTGTACATATTTTGACAGAAATATAGCCTTCTTTAAACCGATCGCTTTTTATTTCATTTATGTTATGATTATACTCACATGCGAACCAAAAAAGGTGTATTCCCAGATGATTAACTTTAATAAGCAAACATTCGAATCTTTGCAATGTTCACCTATCAAAATGATGATATTTAAATGTACATATCAAACATTTAATTATCTTAGTCTTTCCAATCGATTTTATTCCCGATTTGTAGTTAAATATTGAAATAAAAATTAGTTAAACAATCATTTGATTTTATGATCAGATCATAAGTTTCGATCGCATTTCGTCTATTGAAGTTTGTGCTAACAAACAGTTTCAATAGACTTGAAACTTTAGTTTTGAGGCTAAATCCATGAATCTTTTCTTAGCTAGTAAGTTGAGTAAATATCAGAAATGTTCTGTATAAAATTTTTCCTATCATTTTATTGAATGTAATGATAGAGATGTGAGAGTAGTTCTTCTTTATAACTCAAAATAATAGAACTGTTCATGTGTACTGATTTCTTTGAATACACACTTTAAGTTTTTAAGATTTTGAACATAACAAAGTGTAAACTGAATACATAGAATGTTTGTTATATGAATACTCAAATAATTAAGATATTAATTACTCATTTATGAACAATTAGTGAAGTAGTTTCATATACTAGTAAGCCATAATATTTAATTTCAATTCTTATATACAGAGATTTATTCAATTACTGTAAACATAAAAACACTAACAGATGGTTTATCATATCTGATAAAGTATGTCTTAACATATTTGCAAATATTTTCATTCAACACTGTAAACTTTAGCAAGTAAATTATTCAGGTTTTCAAAAGTAGCTATTTGAAGGCAAGTTGCATAAACTAACTCATACAATTAGTATGTATATGAAGATAAAATTTTGTCATGAAAGTATTATAGTAAACCAGAACACAATTGAAGACAATCAAATGTAGTTGAATACAGAATATCGTAGTAAAACTTAAAAACCATACAGTAATAACTTAATTTATAAAATATCAATCAATCGTCTCAAACTTCATTATTTCTTCATTTCCACACCAGTCATTCTCTGTTCTTGTTCTCTTTTCTTCGATCTTCTTAACCTTCTGCCTCCAGGCATTTCACTTTCGGTTGATGGTACGTATTGTTTATATCTGTAGACATCCGTAGCACACACCATATAACTTCAATAATTCATGACTCCCTATGTGAATAGGACATTCAGATATAAGTAGTTTTTTTCCGATTTCGACCTCTTATAAGCCATTTCAAGTAATAATTTTTAGATAGAACAAACAAATAGGACAAACTGTTTTCATAATAATCTATTGTAATACAGAAATCTATTGTAATAGTGTTTGTATTACTTTTTCAACGATATTGGAAACTCTTTAACCATTTTCATTTCTATCCTCTGAAGAAAAGACTTGTTGTTTGATCTTTAGATTCTGAGTGTAACCTGATGTTTATAAAACATAAAATAAAAATAAAACGTTTCCTTGCTCATATTTCAAAAGATTTCTTTCATTTATAAAAAATGACCATAAGACCCAGAAGTCATAAGCTACTAAATTTCCCCTTCATTTAGATTTAACTACAGTTCTGAGTTCATAGTTTCCAATTACTTTATAGTTTCGTCCCAATACAAGAAATAATATTAACAAACGTTCAGAAATACATCAGTTTATTTGAAAAATTTGTAAATTATTTTAAAAATAAATGCAAAATACATATGTAATTTATCCAATCAGAATAAATTGTAAAATTCACACGATCCCATATTCAAAGTTAATTCATATTTACGTATAATACAATTTACAATATTTTCATCTTTTAATTCATCTGATTAACATAAATTGACAGAATTTAAATTAAGGCTCATTTCTATTGTTATGTAAGAGATATGTGAAATTAAAAAAAATATGTATACAATCACTCAAATAGGATTCTTGTAAATGTATATTTCATTATTTCATTCTCCTACTTCAATTTAATGATAAAACAGTTAATATTTCAATCTAGTATATGAATAATAATAAACTTAAATCTAGTCTTTACCATTATCGAATTTTATAATAATAGGATTTGCTAGTGTTTGGACAGTACAAACAGTATGCATGTATACATACCTTAAACAATAACTCACTATTGAATAACATCAGTAATGCAGTATATATATATATATATATATATATATATATATATATATATATATATATTGCTACATTGATCACACGTAAATGTTACAGTTGCATAACTACTGATCAACATTTCAGTAATGGAAAAAAATATTTCAAATATAAAATAATGATACATGTATAGTTTTGAGTGAACCATATTATTACTATTATTAGATAATAATATAATCATTAAATAGTAACTTATAGAACATATACACATAATTTAATGACATTCTATGTTAATTAGCAAGAACCAATAAACTGATAAGAAATTCAATGATTAAATCTTTATTCTCAATAAATTGATTAATAAATTGTATACTTATAATTTTAGGATTAAATTTTGTACATAATTACATAGTAACAAGAATTTGTAACGTTACGTCATAAAATACAACAGATAACAAGAGAGATTAATTGATAATTATCTTAGAAGTGTAATACTAATCAATTAACAATACATTATAATCTAAACATAATAATCTATTTAAAGCAAGTATTCTCATTATAAGAAATATTAATAGTATTAAGGGAAAAATTTATGTAATATGATACCGGTAACATACAAGTATAAATTAAATATCAAAGAGATCTGAAATATTTTAAGGAAAATGTGACAGTTTTTGTTTTCCAAAATGTAGAAATAATAAAGAAAAGAGAATAATACTACCTAAGCTTAAGATGCGACCAAGACAATGACATAAATAGGATGTACTTTTTTTATTTCTGCAAATGTAAAGTTCAGATGTCACCTAATCGATAGTTAAAAAGTCTTCACTGTTTTAAATAGTTAAAGATAAATGAGTTTATAAGTATCATTACCAAGGCTCGACTTGATAATTTCAAATTGTTAAATTGTTATAAATAAATAAATAATATATTTGTAATATTTCAGTGAATAGAAAAATCAAATTTTTTGATGTTTCGTGACTCAGTGTAAGCTACTTCTTCAGAAAATAAATAATCAAATGAATTTGGTTATTTTAGTATTTCTGAGTCAGTTGAATGATTTAGCATATTTAAACGATCCAGATTCTAATTCTCAACCGCTTATTTTCTCATTTTTATAATGTTATTCTAGGAGATGCTTTCGTATAAAAGTTCAACAACTAATGAGCACCTTAACAAGTTTGTCTAAATGACGAATCATAATTAATTATCTCAAGTTAATATACTATTTATAACTGAATAGTAAATAAAGATCTGACATCGACCATATCTAAACTTAGGGATCCTTATCATAGATATATATTTGTTAACCACTTACCGATTATTGAATTATAAGATTTAGTAATCAGACAAATAACGTACAACTATATATTACATACGTATTTCTATTAAACTGTTTGATTAAAAAACAAGATTACTTTGTTACAAAGTTTACAGAATTTTAATTCCTAGAATCGAAGTTTTCATTCTGTATTAGATAGATCGATTTATTGGCGTTAATGAGATGATAAGACAAAAGGAAGAAATGAAAATAACACCAATACTAACAATCTATCGGATTTTGAAAAATAAAAACAAAACAAAGGATGATAATTTCTAAGTTGGAATTAAGAGAAAAAGGTAGAAAAAATTATCCACTATTCATTCAATCGTTCACTCACCTAGCTGTTAATGAGAAAAAACTGTAACAAAACATGACCCCTGTTTTTATCTCTGTACATGGCTTCATTGTTAAATCTGAATAAAGTTCAGTCAATATCAACAACGGGATAATCTAAGTCATTTCAAATTGAATTGAAACTCATACCCATTTTTTTCGGTTTGCCACTACAATAACAGTATAACTTATTCATTATTATTTCTGGTACTGTGATTGACGATTATTAGGTGTCTTATGCTTTTTTTCTACAAGTACACAAATAAACACTTAAAAACAAAAGTTACTTCAAATGATTGGAAGAAAACTCAGTTGGATCCATTATTACTTAAATTTTGTGCTTGTCAATAAGATATAAATGTTGCCTTAAAGTTATTACACTTCTCAGAAAGATTAGAATTTCATTATAGTGAATACAACACATTAATTAGTCACTATATAGCAAGTGTTATCATGTTTAAATAGCTTTTATGGTTGACTGAGTTCTACCACTTACGTATGTAAGCTAATATAACTAAAAGAAGATCCATCCTACTACTTACTTGGTTGACAGAAATTGACCAACTATACATACAAATTGACATTATTAAATTATTTCCTTGTAGCTGTTTAACAAATTTTAATACTATATCATATCTGGCTAGCAGCTGAATCCGAGATGAAGTATTTGCGTAGTTTGGGGC